AACTATGTGGAAGAGATATGGAGAGAGTGGACAGCTTTGTCTTGTTCCTGATTTTAGTGGAATCATTTTGAGTTTCTCTCCATTTAATTGGCCATTAACTGTCAGCTTCTTGTATATTGCTTTTATTATGTTTAGATATGTTCCTAGTATCCCTAATCTCTCCATGATCATTTTGAAGGGTTGCCTGATTTTGTCCAATTTTTTTTTAGCATTTTATGAGATGATCAGATGGTTTTTTTTATTTTAGTTTATTTATATGATGTACTAAATTGATAGATTTTCATCTGTTGAACCATTCCTCTATCTCTGGGATAAAGCTGACTTAATCTATTTTTTTTTATTGCGAAAAGAAGAAAAAAAAACATAAACAAAAAACAAGTTTCCACCTCCTCCCAGCCTCCCATTTCCCTTCCCCTCCTCCCACCCTTCTCCCCCTCCTCCCACCCTTCTCCCCCTCCCCCCATTCCTCTCCCCCTCCCTCTCCAGTCCACAGAGCAGTCCAGGTTCCCTGCCCTGTGGTAAGTCCTAGGTCTGCCCTGTGGTAAGTCCTAGGTCCTCCCCCCTCCGTCCATATCTAGGAAGGTGAACATCCAAACTGGCTAGGCTCCCACAAAGCCAGCACATTAAGTAGGATCAAAACCCCCTGCCATTGTCCTTGGTGTCTCATCAGCCCTCATTGTTCGCCATGTTCAGAGAGTCCGGTTTTATCCCATGCTTTTTCGGTCACAGTCCAGCTGGCCTTGGTGAGCTCCCCGTAGATCAGCTCCACTGTCTCAGTGGGTGGATGCACGCCTCGTGGTCCCGAATTCTTTGCTCATGTTCTCCCTCCTTCTGCTCCTCCTTGGGACCTTGGGGGCTCAGTCCAGTGCTCCTGTGTGGGTCTCTGTCTCTATCTCTATCCATCACCAGATGAAGATTCTATGATGATATGCAAGATATTCGTCAGTATTGCTCTAGGATAGGGTCATTTCAGGTTCCCAATCCTCAGCTGCCCAAGGAACTAACTGGGAACCTCATCTTGGGCACTAGGGAGCCCTCTAGGGTCAAGTCTCTTGCCCACCCTAAAGTGGCTCCCTTAACTAAAAATTGTGGTTCCGTGCTCCCCTATCCACCTTTCCTTTATACCAATTCTCCTGTTTCCCCAGGTCCCCCCTCCTTCCCTTCTACCCTTTCTCTCCCCATCTCCCCTTACCCCCATCCCACCCCACCCCCAAGATCCCATTTTCTCCCCGGAAATTTGGTCTACTTCCCTTAGCCAAGAGGATAACTATATGTTTTTCCTTGGGTTCACCTTCTTACTTAGCTTCTTTAGGTTCACCTATTGTAGACTCCGTGGTCCTTATTTATGGCTAGAAACCAATTATGAGCGAGTACATCCCATGTTCATCTTTTTGGGTCTGGGACACCTCACTCAGGATAGTGTTTTCTATTTCCATCCATTTGCATGCAAAATTGGATAATTTTTTATTTGTTCTTGGATTCAGTTTGTTAGTATTTTATTGAGTATTTTTCTATCTATTATGAGTGAGATTGGTCAATTACTTTCTTTCTTGGTTGAGTTTCTGTGTAGTTTTGTTTTCAGGGTAATTGCAGCCTCATAAAAAGAGTTTGGCAATGTTTCTTCTGTTTCTATTGTGTGGAATACTTTGAGGAGTATATAAGTATAGGTATTAGCTTGGACTTTCTCATATAATTTTACACTAAAGTCTTTCAGGTCTGGGCTTTTTTTTTTAAAGCTGGGAGGCTTTTGATGACCTCTTCTATCCTTGCAATTTATAGGTCTATTTAAATTCTTCACCAGGTTTTGATTTAATTTTGCTATAATGTATCTATCTAGAAAATTGTCCATTTCTTTTGTGTTTTTAAATTTTGTGAAGTACAGGATTTGTAGTATGACCTAATGATTCTCTGGAATTCCTGAGTGTCTGTTATTATGCCCTACTTTTCATTTCTAATTTTGTTTATTTTGATGTTCTCTCTCTGCCTTTTGATTAGCTTGGATAAGGGTTTGTCTATCTTGTTGATTTTCGCAAAGAACCAGTTCTTTGTCTCATTAATTCTTTGTATTAATTTCTTTGTTTTTATTTTATTGAATTCAGCCTTCAATTTGATTATTTTCTGTCTTCTACTCCTACTGTGTGCATCTGCTTCATTTTTTTCTTGAGCTTTCAGGTGTTCTGTTAAGTCACTGGTGAGAGCTTTCTTTACTTTCTTTATGTGGGCACTTAGTGCTGTGAACTTTCCTCTTAACACTGCTTTCATAGTGTCCCATAGGTTTCGGTACATTGTTCCTTCATTTTTGTTAAATTCTAGGAAGTCTTTTAATTTCTTTGTTTCTTCCTTGACCCAGGGGTGGTTCAATAGTTCACCATTCAATTTCCATGAGTTTGTAGGCTTTCTGAAAGTAGTGTTGTTGTTAAATTCTAACTTTAAACCATGGATATCCAATAAGATACAGGGGGTTACTTCATTTATTTTGTATGTGTGGAAGTTTGCTTTGTTATGTAGTACGTGGTCAATTTTAGAGGCAGTTCCATGAGGTTCTGAGAAGAAGGTATATTCTTACGTGTTTGGTTGAAATTTCTATAGATACCTGTTAAGTCCATTTGAGTCATTCCATCTGTTTGTTCTCTTATTTCCCTGTTAAGTTTCTCTCTGATTGACCTGTCAGTAGGCAAGAGTGGAGTCTTAAAGTCTCCTTCTATTAGTGTGTGGGGTTTGATGTGTAAGTTTAGCTTTAGTAATGTTTCTTTTACATATGTGCTCTTGTATTATGGGCATTGGTGTTCAGTGTTAAGAGTTCATCTTTATGAATTCTTCCTGTTATGAGTATATAGTGTCCTTCTCCATCTCTTCTGATTGATTTTAGTTTGAAATCTACTTTATTAGATATTAAGATATGTACACCTACTTGTTTCTTAGGTCCATTTGATTGGAAAAACTTTTTTCAAAACTTTACTTTAAGGTAATGTCTTTGAGGTTGAGGTGTGTTTCTAGTATACAGCTGAAGACCGGATCCGATTTTTCTTTCTGTTCTTTTAGCATGTGTCTTTTTATAGGTGAATTGAGTCCATTCATATAAAGAAATATTAATGACCAGTGATTGCTAATTTCTGTTATTTTTTCAATGGTAGTGTGTAGGTTTCCCTTCGTAGCGATTTGTTGGTGTATGGTTATCTGTTGCCTGTTTTCTTGTGGGTGCAATTAGTTTTCATGGGTTGGGCATTTTCTTCTAGTACATTCTGTAGGGCTGGATTTATGGATGGGTATTGTTTAAATCTGATTTTGTCATGGTATATAATTTTTCTCTTTCAATGGTGATTGATAGCTTTGCTGGGTATAGTAGTCTGTGCTTGCATTTGTGGTCTCTTAGTGTCTGCAATACATTCATCCAGGAACTCTGGCTTTCATGGTTTACATTGAGAAGTTGGGTCTATTTCTGATAGGTTTACATTTATATGTTTCTTGATCTTTTTCTTTTGCAGCTTTTAACATTCTTCGTTCTGTATGTTTTCCATTTTGATTTTTATATGGCAAGGGGATTTTTGTTTTATCTATTCTATTTGGTGTTCTGTAAACTTCTTGTACCTTCATAGAGATATCCTCCTTTAGATTGGGAAAGTTTTCTTCTATGATTTCGTGAAATATATTTTCTGTGCCTTTGAGCTGGAGTTCTCCTTCTATCCCTATTATTCTTAGGTTTGACAAAGAAAATAAAATTATTCAATGGAAAAAAGAATGCGACTGCACCAACTTGTACTGGCATAATAGGATGTCATCATGTAGAAGAATGCAAATAGATCCATACCTCTTGCCATGCACAAAATTCAAATGGATTAATTACCTCAATATAAATTTGATAACACTGAAACTGATAGATGGGAAAGTGGGAAGTAACCATCAGTGCATGGGTAGAGGAGACCACTTTCTAAATATAACCCCAGTAGCACAGACACTGATAGCAATAATAAATGAATGGGACTTCCTGAAATTGAGAAGCTTCCGTAAAGCAAAAGACACAGTAAATAAGTCAAAAAGAAAGCCTACTAAATGGGAAAAGATCTTCAACAACCCCACATCATATAGAGGACTATTCTCCAAAATATATGAAGACCCAAGTAATTAAACATTTAAATACCAAATAAACCAATTAAAAAATAGGGTACAGTTCTAAACAGAAAAAATTTAACAGAAGAATTTCAAATGTCTGAAAGGCAATTAAGGAATGGTTTAACATCCTTAGCTCTCAGGGAAATGCAAATGCAAATGACTCTGAGATAACATCTTACACACCTGTGAGAATGGCTAAAATAAAAAAAAAATGCCAATAATAGTTTATTCTAGAGAGGATGTACGGTAAGGTGAACTCTCCTCCATAACAGGAGGGAATGCAAACTAGTGCAACCATTTTGGAAATCAGTATGGCATTTTTTTTTTTTCAGAAAATTGGGAATCAGTCTACCACAAAACCCGGTAATACCACTCTTGGGAATATACACAAAGGATACCCAAACATACTACGAGGACATTTGTTCATCTATGTTTATAGAAGCATTATTTGTAATAGCCAGAACCTGAAAACAACCTAGATGCCCCTCAGCTGAAGAAAGGATAAAAAAAAATGTGGTATAGTTACACAATGGAGTACTACTCAGCTGTAAAAGAACAATGACATCTTTAAATTGGCATGCAAATGGATGTAACTAGAAGAAATCATTATGAGTGAGGTAAGCCAGACCCAAAAAGATGAGCCTGGTATGTACCCACTCAAATGAGAATACCAGCTGTAAATTTAAGGATAAGGAGCCTGTAGTTAATGACCCAAGAGAATTAAAGCAACAAACAGAACTCTAAGATAAACATATATAGATCAAACTAGGAAGGAGAAATAGACAAGATTTCCTGAGATAATTGGGGTGGGGGGAGAGGGGAAGATAGAAGGGGAAGAGGAAGGGAGAAGAAGTGTGGGAAGGAAAAATATAGGGAACTGGATGGTTAAGATGGTGGAAAGAAAAGAGAACAAGGAAAGAAATATCATGATTGAGGTAGGCATTAGGGGTCTAACAAGAAACTTAACACTAGATTCTAAGGAATCCACAAGGATAACCCCAGCAAAGTCCCTAAGCAAAAGTGGAGAGGGTTCCTGAATGGGCCTTACCCTGTAGTCAGATTGATGACTGTCTTTGATGTCATCATAGAACCTTAATGCAGCAAGTGATGGAAGCAGATGCAGAGAACCACAGTGGAGCAGTGGCCTAGGTTCCCAAAAACCAGTCTACAAGAGGGAGAAGTGAGAATCTGAGCTAAGAGGTCAAAAACATGATGGGGATACCTACTTAAACAGCTTACCTGAAGTAATGGAAGCCTTCCAACTCTGGTCTGACAGCAAGGGAACTAGTAAAGGACCAAACTAGGCCCTCTGGACGTAGGTGTCAGTTGTATGGCTTGGCAAGGCTGTGCAGTCAATGGCAGTGAGGCCAGCATTCATCCCTAATGCTTGTTCTGGCTTTTAGGAAGGCATTCTTTCTGAAGGGATACATTGCTCAGTCTAGATATAGTGGGGATGGCCTTGGTTTCTCCTGGCAGCAATGTGTTAGATTTCAGTGACTCCCCATGGGAAGCCATACTGTCTTTGATGAGTGGATGGGGTGGGATCAGTCGTGGGTGGAAGGAGAAAGAAGCATGAGGAGATTCTCTGTTTCCTTTGCCAACAGAGAATCCATCTGTGGTCTTATTGCTACAGTTCATATCTCTCCAGCCAGTCATTTCTATAGCAACAATTTGCCCTGGGGATTATAGGCCCTATTCCAGTCAGTTCCCCTGACTTTTCATGGAAATACATAAGAAGATAATCTGTCTCTCACACATTCCATGACAGACAATCTTTGTGCCACATTTCATCTCATGGTTTGTTGGTACAGACCTTAAATTACAGTCTGGATTTTAGAGTAATGTTTGCACAAACACATTAAGTTTTATGAAGTTATGTTTCTATAGTTTAAGTAAAAACTTTTTACCTGGCTATATGATAAAATGGAAAACTTTCTTGTCAGGACATCAGGGAGAGAAATGAGAATGCCTGAACTCTGAACAGAGAATTTTACACTTGATGTTGGAGAACTACATCACCGTTGTCTTTGTTGGTGTGACAGTTATTCTTTCATGATTCCTTGTTTATCATGGTTGTTCCTGTCAAGTATGATGAACAGCTCTTTATGTTATGTTTATATCCAGTTCACTTTCTAATGATAACTTAAAAACCTTGGAGATTTATCATGTAGAATACAATGTTTTAGCTAAGTTTATTTTGTCAATATATTTTTATGCATATCAATATATATGAGTCCATAAGAATATAACATACTGTGATAATATGCTACATACTTAATGAACAATGTCTAGTGTTGATGCCTTTTGAAATCTACTGCTTCAATTAAAAGAATCAAAAAATATTGTAGTTCCCTCAGAATTTCAGTCATGAATAACTGCACGTTGACATGAAATTGCTTTCAGTTGTGCTTCATTCCATTCCACAGCTTCCATTCATTAATCTAAGTAGCAACCCCATCTTTGTGAACCTGGCCAGCAGAAACACAGTGAAGTTCATGATTAACTTTATAGGATTCTGATGTACATTTGAGTTCAGCTTTCCTTTCTCCATTTCTGCTTTGTCTATGTAGAGTTCAACATGCCAGGTCAGTACAAGCTCTAACTATATAACTTCACTTTTGTGCAGAAACTTGAACTCAGCAAGGGAGAAACTCATCATTTTAATTGCTCCTGTTTCATGAGTATCTGTGATACCACACCCTGAGTGAATACTCATTTGATTTCTGAGGTTCTACAGATGGTGAGTGTGCTTGCAGCAGGTGAAAGGTGTTTGATATTACTTTTTTTTTTATTTAGCGAATTCCTCAAGAGAGAATCCAGGAGCTAAAGCAGCATATTGTTTTCCCTGAGACAGAAGAGATGGCTGATTCTACAGTAAGTATGTCTCTGCTCAGAAACTATGCTCAATTTCTTCTGCAAAGCTTATATATTTATGTTGCAATCTTTACTTCTCTGTTTCTCATAGCCTAGCTTACAGAGTTTATTTCCACTGTTATTTGTTTGCCTGTACTTCTCAAGAATGCTATTATTGAGTATTTAGATATATATTGTTTATTCAGTGTGGATTTACCTTTATTTTGTCTTTACCTGCTCATTTTTTTTCTCAGAATATATAACCTCAGCGAACTGATGATGTTCATCACTGGGAATTTCATTATGAGAGATAAATATTGTAACTGGCTGATTTTCATTTTCTCCATAGACCAAATCATATCCTCATATAAAGAGAGGAAATGCAATTGTATGGCATGGCTTCCATCTGAGCACACTGTTTGTTTACTGATTTATATAAATTCATATACAATTACCTGGAATGTGCTGCCTAGCATAGCTATTTCAGTAATGAGATAGTAGAATTAGAAATGTCATATTTTCATGGAAAATAAAAGAAATATATAGAATTCACTTGAGAATCTAGAATGCGGCAGATACACATAGCTTATACTCAGCATAAACCTGATGCTGTTTCATTCACACTACAATTTCCATGCCTTCTTTCTTGGACAATCACTATCAATACAATAATGATGTGACTATGTTTCAAATCATGTTTATCTTGGTTTATCTTAATATCTCAATGTGGACTTCATTCAGAGACCATTAGTTTAGATTTTGTGTTTCTGGTGTTGTATATAGTGTTTCATTCTGAAGCCAGGATGCATTGAATTCACATTATCAGGAATAATTATTTTGAAGTATTTCCAGTTGGTGAACATAAAATATCAAATTTTATGCAGAAACGGAACTTTTCCATAATTATTTTGATTTGTTTCCTTGCATCAGAGGCTCCCTTGCATGGGTCTCCACACATTTCCCATGAACACTTTTTTTAATTCAATATTTCAGAAATATATATATGTATTTATAGGCTTATTATTTTTAATTTTCCTTCTATAGAAAATAGATGTTTTCCTCATATAATTCATGATTATGGTTTTCTTTTTTTCTACTACTCCCAATTAATCTTCACACGTTATTCTATCCAGATCCTCCCCCTTTCTGACACTCAATAGAAAACAAACATTATTAAGGGAGAAAAATGAAACAAAATATAACATGATATAATAAGATAAAACAAACTAATGTAGAATAATAGGAAAAACAAACAATCAGATGAAAATAGTCCAAAAAAAGTTACAAAAGACAGATAGAGATGCAGAGATCCACTACTTTTTAAGGTCATGAATTCCCTAAAACACCAAACTGAAACTGTAATATATATTACATGTAGGAGAAAATGTAATAAAATTTATAAATAAAATAAATCATAAGAAAATGAAAGAACAGAAATTTCTGAGATTACATTATGATTCAGGGAACTTATAAGATGCTGTTGAGTTTATTGAGACTCACTATGCAACTTACCTTTGAGAGTAGTTTTTTATCCCAGCAACAAATCTTTGAAGAGGAGCAAATTTTCATTTAGGTGGGATTATTATTCGGAGATTCTTTCAAGGCTAGGGAATTGGGAATGTGTCCAGTTCTTATTTGAACTGTTAAAGCCCTGTGTATGCTGCCTCAATTTCTTTTCATCAATATGTGTTTCAATCCAGTAAAGGTGGAGGTCTTTGTATGTTTGTGTGTTGGGAGGGATACGTGGGCATCTTCCTCTTCTTTTACATGGTTCTGTGCACCCTGAGGCAAGGTATTTGATGGAGACCTCCCATTCGGCATTGTTTCATGGTCTTTCAATCTCTGCATATTGTCTGGCCGTGAGCTTCTCTATTATTTCTCCTTACCTGTTCAGGAGGAATATCCTCTAATTGGGTGAGCAAGGCTTTGATCTATGTATATTTGATCTATTTATCTGATGTATTGTAGAATGTCATTTAGGAGCAATTTTATTTCTCTCTCTCTTTTTTTTTATTGAGAAAAGGAAAAATACAAGTCTCCGCCTCGTCCCACACTTCTCCACCTCCTCCTACTCCTCTCCCCTTCCCTCTCCAGTCCAAAGAGCAGTCAGGGTTCCCTGCCCTGTGTAAAGTCCAAGGTCCTCCGCTCTCCGTCCATATCTAGGAAGGTGAACATCCAAAATGGCTAGGCTCCCACAAAGCCAGCACATTAAGTAGGATCAAAACCCCCTGCCATTGTCCTTGGTGTCTCATTAGCCCTCATTGTTCGCCATGTTCAGAGAGTCCGGTTTTATCCCATGCTTTTTCGGTCACAGTCCAGCTGGCCTTGGTGACCTCCCCGTAGATCAGCTCCACTGTCTCAGTGGGTGGATGCACGCCTCGTGGTCCCGACTTCTTTGCTCATGTTCTCCCTCCTTCTGCTCCTCATTGGGACCTTGGGAACTCAGTCCAGTGCTCCTGTGTGGGTAGTTTCTTATCCCAGCAACAATTCTTTGAAGAGAACCAAATTTTCATTTATGTGGGATTATTAGTCAGAGATTATTTCTAGGCTAGGGATCTGGGAATGTGTCCAGTTCTTATTTGAACTGTGAATGTCCTGTGTATGATGCCTCAATTTCTTTTCATCAGTACGTGCTTCAATCCAGTACAGGTAGAGGGCTTTGTATGTTTGTGTGTGGGGAAGGACATGTGGGTGTCTTCCTCTTCTTTCACATGGTTCTGTGAACCCTGAGGCAAGATATTTGATGGAGACTGCCCATTCAGCATTATTTCAAGGTCTCTCAATCTTTGCATATTGTCTGGCTGTGAGCTTCTCTATTTTTTCTTTCTACCTGTTCAGGAGGAATATCCTCTTATTGATCTGTGTATATTTGATCTATTTATCTGCTGTATAGTAGAATGTCATTTAGGAGCAATTGTATTTTTCGGTTTTTAGAACAAAAAATATTTTTTGAATTTACCTCCGGTCCCTGGGCTGTCTACTTTCTCGTTCTTTGTCAGCAAAGCGGTGTGAGTTATTGGTTTCATCTCATGGAGTTAGCCTTAAATCACATCAGATTTTGGAATATTACCTTCACAAGCTTTGTGCCACAATTATACTAACATATCTTATGGGCAGGACACCAATGTAGATCAAACGGTTTGGATTTGGGATTGATGTTTGTGTTTCTTCTCAGTACTATGTAGACAATTTTGGTACACCAAAGACTCAGGTTGCGATAGACACCAGCCCCACTTCTATGTGATCAATGAGGTTTTTTGAAATGGAACACTAATTCTATTTTAATCAATAAATCCATATAATGCAAGACATTACCATTTTCGATCACTGCAGTTTTTGCTTCATTTAAGCTGGATGTGTCTGGTAGAATCTTTCTGTATTGCATAAAGCAGAATGACAATATTTTCTCCAGCCAGACAATCTAACTCCTATTTGTTGAAGATGTTTTCTTTTCTTCATAGCAAATTTATTGTTTCTTTATCAAAAATCAGGTGTCTATATGTGTGCAGCTATGTGCTTGTGTCTTTGATTCAATTCTGCTCGCTAACATGTCTTTATTTTTTACAAATACTGTATAGTTTTGATTACTATCTATTTGAAGTACAATTTGAAATCTGATATCATGATATCTTCATTTTATTGCTCAGAATTTTTTTAGATATTCTGGATTTTTTTCATTTTTCACATTGTATTCAATCATTTCTTTTCATTGTATTAGAATCATATGTAAAGAAATGTGTTGGCATTTTGATGTGTACTAAGTAGAATATGTACATTTCTCTTGCTACGATTTTAAATTTTACTTTGTTAATTCTACTGATCCATGAGCATGAGAGACCTTTCCATCATCTGATATCTTCTTTCATTTCTTTCTTCAACATATTGAAATTGTGGTCATACATGTCTTTCACATGCCTGGTTAGGGTACTCCAGGTTATTGGAATTTTTGTGGCTATTATAAACGTTGTTTTCCACCGAATTCTTTCTCAGTTCATTTGGAATCAATATATAAAAGGTGTACTGACTTTTTATAGTTAATCAATGGTTCAGTCATATCGCTGATGATGTTTGTCACTGTGGATAGTACTTCTTGGCAGATTTTGTTTTGCAAATAATTTAACATTTTTTCTCCTTTTCCAATTTGTGTTTCTTTGATCTCCTTCAGTTTTCTTTTGCTTTAGCTAACATTTCAAGTATTGTAATTCCTAGGTGTAAAAAACTTGACAGCCTTGCCTTCTTCCTATCATTATTGGAATATCTTTAAGATTCTCTCTATTTAATTTGATGTTTCTAGAGACTTTCTGCAAATGGTATTTATTATGTTAGGTATGTCACTATCAATATTATTTCTAATAATTTTATCATGAAGTTGTGGAGGTTGGATTTTTTCAAAGGCATACTTAAGAAAATCAACAAGATAGAAAAACCTTCATCCAATTACCTAAAATTCAAAGAGAATATCCAAATTAAGAAGAATAAAAAAATGAAAAGTTGGACAGTAGCCGATAATAATGAGGAGCTCATAACCTGTATTTCACTAAATAAAATAATATAAAATTAATGAATTTTTTCAATTATACCTTTAAAAATTGCTCAATCAAGATCATATAAACAACTTAAGTAGACCTATGAACACTATTGAAATGAAGGCAGTCATTAAAATCATCTCCCAATGGAAAAGAAAGAACAAAATCCAGGGTCAGAGATTTAGGACATAATTCTTTGTTCATGGTCTCCCTCCTTCGGCTCCTCATTGGGACCTTGGGAGCTCAGTCCAGTGCTCCAGTGTGGGTCTCTGTCTCTGTCTCCATCCATCACCAAAAGAATGTTCTATGATGATATGCAAGCTATTCATAAGTATTGCTATAGGATAGGGTCATTTCAGGTTCCCTATCCCCAGCTGCCCAAGGAATTAACTGGGGACCTCGGCTTGGGCACCTGGGAGCCTCTCTAGGTTCAAGTCTCTTGCCAACCCTAAGGTGGCTCCCTTAACTAAGAATTGTGCTTCCGTGCTCCCCTATCCAACCTTCCTTTATCCCAATCCTCCTTTTCCCCCAAGTTCCCCCCTTCTTCCCCTTCTCCCCTTTCTCTCCCCATCTCCGCTTACCCCCATCCCACCCAACCCCCAAGATCTCAATTTTCTCCCCGGCAACTTTGTCTACTTCCCATAGCCAAGAAAATAACTATATGTTTTTCCTTTGGTTCACCTTCTTTTTTTTTTCTTTTTTTTTTTATTGAGAAAAGAAGAAAAAAAACATAAACAAAAAACAAGTTTCCACCTCCTCCCAGCCTCCCATATCCCTCCCCCTCCTTCCACCTTTCTCCCCCTCCTCCCACCCTTCTCTCCCTCCCCCAACTCCTCTCCCCCTCCCTCTCAAGTCCACAGAGCAGTCCGGGTTCCCTGCCCTGTGATAAGTCCTAGGTCCTCCCCCCTCTGTCCATATCTAGGAAGGTGAACATCCAAAATGGCTAGGCTCCCACAAAGCCAGCACATTAAGTAGGATCAAAACCCCGTCCCATTGTCCTTGGCGTCTCATCAGCCCTCATTGTTCGCCATGTTCAGAGAGTCCAGTTTTATCCCATGCTATTTCGGTCACAGTCCAGCGGGCCTTGGTGAGCTCCCAGTAGATCAGCTCCACTGTCTCAGTGGGTGGGTGCTCGCCTCGTGGTCCCGACTTCTTTGCTCATGTTCTCCCTCCTTCTGCTCCTCATTGGGACCTTGGGAGTTCAGTCCAGTGCTCCTGTGTGGGTCTCTGTCTCTATCTCTATCCATCACCAGATGAAGGTTCTATGATGATATGCAAGATGATGATATGCAAGATATTCATCAGTATTGCTCTAGGATAGGGTCATTTCAGGTTGCCAATCCTCAGCTGCCCAAGGAACTAACTGGGAATCTCATCTTGGGCACTTGGGAGCCCCTCTTGGGTCAAGTCTCTTGCCCACCCTAAAGTGGCTCCCTTAACTAAGAATTGTGGTTCCGTGCTCCCCTATCCACCTTTCCTTTATCCCAATTCTCCTGTTTCCCCAAGTCCCCACTCCTTCCCTTCTACTTTTTTTCTCCCTATCTCCCCTTACCCCCATCCCACCCCACCCCAAGATCCCAATTTTCTCCCCGGCAATTGGGTCTACTTCCCTTAGCCAAGAGGATTCACCTTCTTACTTAGCTTCTTTAGGTTCACCTGTTGTAGCTCCGTGGCCCTTATTTATGACTAGAAACCAATTATGAGCGAGTACATCCCATGTTCATCTTTTTGGGTCTGGGACACCTCACTCAGGATAGTGTTTTCTATTTCCATCCATTTGCATGCAAAATTCGAGAAGTCATTGTTTTTTACTGCAGCGTAGTACTCTGGCGTGTATATATTCCATACTTTCTTCATCCATTCTTCCATTGAAGGGCATCTAGGTTGTTTCCAGGTTCTGGCTATTACAAATAATACTACTATGAACATAGTTGAACAAATGCTCTTGTCATATGATAGGGCATCTCTTGGGTATATTCCCAGGGGTGGTATTGCTGGGTCCAGGGGTAAGTTGATCCCGAATTTCCTGAGAAACCGAAACACCGATTTCCAAAGTGGTTGCACAAGATTGCATTCCCACCAGCAATGGATGAGGGTACCCCATCCTCCAAAGCCTCTCCAGCAAAGACTATCATTGGAGTTTTTTATTTTAGCCATTCTGACAGGTGTAAGATGATATCTCAATGTTGTTTTGATTTGCATTTCCCTGATTGCTCAGGAGGTTGAGCATGACCTTAAGTGTCTTTTGGCCATTTGAACTCTTCTGTTGAGAATTCTCTGTTCAGTTCAGTGCCACATTTTTTAATTGGGTTAATTAGCATTTTAAAGTCTAGTTTCCTGAGTTCTCTATATATTTTGGAGATCAGACCTTTGTCTGTTGTGGGGTTTGTGAAGATCTTCTCCCAGTCAGTAGGTTGCCTTTTTGTCTTGGTGACAGTGTCCTTTGCTTTACAGAAGCTTCTCAGGTTTAGTAGGTCCCATTTATTCAATGTTGCCCTTAATGTCTGAGCTGTTGGGGTTACACATAGGAAGTGATCTCCTGTGCCCATCTGATGTAGAGTTCTTCCCACTTTCTCTTCTATCAGGTTCAATGTGTTCTGAATGATAGTGAGGTCTTTAATCCATTTGGACTTGAGTTTTGTGCATGGTGATAGATATGGTCTATTTTCATTCTTCTACAGGTTGACATCCAGTTATGCCAGCACCATTTGTTGAAGATGCTTTCTTTCTTCCATTGTATACTTTTAGCTGCTTTATCAAAAATGAGGTGTTCATAGGTTTGTGGGTTAAAATTCGCGTCTTCTATATGATTCCATTGGTCGACTTCTCTGTTTTTATGCCAGTACCACACTGTTTTCATTACTGTAGCTCTGTAATAGAGTTTGAAGTCAGGGATGGTAATGCCTCCAGACAATCCTTAATAAAAAATATTAGATCATTTCTTATGAAATTTACTGCTATTATATTAGAAGCTAATGTAATTTAGCTGAGAGTAGAACTCCGTATTAAACCAACTAATGATGAAATAAGGATATAATATACATTGATGAAAACTATAGCTGTATTATAGTACCAGCAGTGTATAAACATCAGTCAAACTATGGAAATCTATAATTGTAATGACAGAGAAGAAGGTTAGAAGGAGGCAAAAAACTGGCTAAGCAATGAGAGGAAATTACAAGGATTTTGACTGGTGCAATGGAAGAAAACTGTGTACTACAGAAACATGCAAAAGTTAAATCCCAGTTAAACAATAAAAGAAAATAATTAAGATGTAGTGAAATGAGAGTGAATCTGTTAAAGAATTATAATAGGAGAAATACAATAAGGAAATATACAATGAGTAATATAACTACACTGTCAATCAGGGTACATATTAAGTGGTTTGCCCTTTTCTTTCAACTTACCCCATTGCAAGTCATGTAGAAAATTTGATGAAGGATAAGGTACTGTTTGTTATATTAACTCTAATCTATAAAATCATCTGTATGACATGCTTGCTGTTCACAGAGTTGTTAAATCAACATTTTTGTTGGTGCTTTTAATGTTTCCTTAGTAATTTTGATGAGTAACTTACTGTAATTTAGTTCTCATATTCATCTTGTGTTCTTGAAGCAGTGGTGGATCCCTGTAGCTTCAGGGGTAAGTCAGCTTAGGATGTCAGCTGATTCAAGCCATGAATCAGCTACACAATCTGCAACCTAACTTGTTCTTTATAATTCTTCCCACAGTGTTCCTACTATTTATTCAGTTAGAAGTCAGTCTCTTTTGAGCTCCCCTCAAACAGGTGTGACGCCTTTCATGGTCTTTCCCAGTAATGTCATTGGTATAATTTGCAGTAGGATTTGTGCTTCATTCTTGGATATGGCAATTCTGCCCCTGTCTACACATCTTACTTTTCACTCATTTTCATTTGACAGCTGTGAATGCATGCATGGTTTAATCTTTACAGCTCTTGTCTCTTCAAATTTTGGTTCCTAATGAAACAATTTGCCTTGAGAATAGAGGCCCTTAATTGGTGAAATCTGGAACTGCACATGATGCTAATTTGGCTCCCATTCACATACCCCATTTCAGCCTGTACATCTACAGTTTAATTTTGTCCTACATGGCTTAATATTTCAGGCACACAGATTTTTATTTATAGACTGTATTTTGGAGTATGTTTTTCAAATAATGCTAATCCAGTACACATCATGTTTTGTGATGAACTCTTGTATTCTTTTTCTAAGTAAAGAAATTTGTACCTGAGCCCCTCATAATCTATTTTCTTTCATGACAGGGAATCTTGACATTCCAGGATGTTGCAATTGATTTCTCTCCAGATGAGTGGGACTGCCTCAACGTTGAACAGAAGGCTTTGTATAGGGATGTCATGTTGGAGAACTATAGTAATATGGTCTCTGTGGGTGAGACTTTTTGTCATGTTTCCGTCTTTACTATGATTTTTTTTCTACAAGCATGTATTATGTCTATGCCTGAATTGCTAGCCTTACTTTTACATGTCAATTTAATAAAAATCTTGGAGTTCATCGTGTAGAACCCAATAATTTTTGTAACTCTATCTCATCAATATATTCCTGAATCCTGGGAATGACATTTATCATTCAAACTTGTATAATACATTTTACTTTTCAGATACATTCTTGATTATATATTGATTTGCAACATGATAATTCACAACATATTTGCTTTCAATAGTAATTTACAAAAGAAATCAAGGAATACAATATTATCAAAATTGCTTTTGAATGTTTTAAATTTTCAGAGACAGGATTTATATTTTTAATTTTATGTTATATCATATCTTATATATTTAGTGTTATCTTAGAAATCCATGTGTTTTACTATTATCCCAATTTATGGACATATATCTCTTCTAATATGCAGGTCTTTCAGTGCCAAAACCAGACATAATCATCTGTCTTGAACAATGCAAAGAACCTTGGATTGTGAACATGGGAGAGAAAGAAGGCAATGAAAAAGGTAAGCGACAATGAAGCCTTGGCACATGTGGGAAACCTAGGACATAGAGGAATTCTTCTCTGAAGTGGGGTTAGCAAAGATCTTGCCCTGAAATGGTACAAAAATTCACATTGTATAGTTATCTCAAATTACTTTATGGGTCTCATTCACATGAAATAACCAAAAATTTACTTTGAATACTGAACTTTAATTATGGTATAAAGCAGAATTTAGAATATTTGTTGCGATATCCTTGAATGCCACCAAACCCAGAAATGAACAATATTGAAAATAAAAGTAGTATTAAAATATTTTGTAGTTTTTGAAAGAGTATTTCTCTGTACATATTCATGTCTGTTTGTCGGCTCTTATGAGAGTATTACATAGTTTTCACTGTTGTGTATTATCACATATAATCAGAAAATATGAATTTTATTCTTGTACTCAATTTGGAAGATTGTAGAGTTCATTCATTGCATTATACTCTACAGAAATTAAAAGGTAACTTTTTTATTTCTGCAAAATATTCATTAGAAATTAAGGACTGTTTAGAGTCATACATACTATTGGTCCATTTTAAAGGCTTATAAAAATCTCTGAATATCAAAATCTATATGTTACTGTCCACATAAAGGTTGTATATTCTCTTGTTTTCCTTTGTGTTTTTTATCTATATTTGAATGTGTTTGGAGAATCAAATTTGTATATGCATAATATTTTATTTTTAATACTTTAATTAATTATTTAAAAATAAATTACAGTATCATTTGACCAATTCAACTCTCCAGTTCTCTGATGTTCCACTTCCTCTAAACTTCTTTATTTTTTCTCTTTATTTTTACACCCACAGAATTCAATCTGTAATTCTCATACAACCCTGGGTGTTGAGCATGACCTGTAATATGGTTAAAATATCAGAAGTTGCACATTCTTAAATTTATGCCCTTTCCCCACATATGTTTCAGGTGATAGAATCATCTCAGGAAGGTGTGTGTCTCCATGTCCACTTTTTCTCTAGGATTTTAATCTTGCTTGAGCTTTCTTAGGTTGAATGTATACTGCCTTGATTAAATGAGTTTATAAGTCATCTGTTACTTTGCATACAAAAAACTAGTTTCTTATACTCATTCATGACTTCCTACACTTAACATGTATTATTACTCTCTCCTGAATGAGCTATGAACAATCCATGAAATGGGTTTTATATAAACATGCAAATTAAAACCAATTTTTTTTTGTTTTCACTATGTCCACCTATGTGTCAACTTTTACTGTCAAATTCCATTAGGTATAAAGGCATAGAGATGCACCAGTCTGTGGGTAAACCAATAAGATACAGGAATAATTTTAATACTATATCCAAGCAGCAGAATAATGGTAGAAAATGGTATCTCCTATCTTTTAGTAATTATCCTGAATTAGCATGAATACTCCTCAAGCTATTCTTCAAAAGATAAATAAATAAAAAAAGACCAGAACTCTTTGAAATTCTTTTTGTGGGACAGTACCCTTGACACTTAAACCACGTATACACACAAAAAGTAAGTAAAAGATGTGCCAATTTCATTATGAACATATCTGCGAAAGTCTTCAGTAACATATATGCAACCTGAATCCAATAGCATATCAAAGGAACTATCTACCAGAGACTTCCTCTCAAGACATGTAGGGACAGATCAACAATTCAAAACCAATATAGTAATCTATCGCTTATGTAAACTGAAAGTCAAATTCTATATGTTCATCTCATTATATGCAGAAAATCCTTTGACAAAATTAACAACCTCTGCTTGACAAAAGTCCTGGAGAGATTAGGGATGCAAGGTACATACTTCTAAATGAAATAGGCAATTTGTAGCAAGCCTATAGCCCACATCAACCTAACTGGAGAGAAATCAAAGACATTCCACTAAAATAGGAAACAATACAAGGGTATTCACTTTCTCCATATGAATTCCATACAGTCCTTGAAATCTTAGCTATAATAATAATTCAAATGAAGATGGAAAAGTGATGAATAACAAAAGAAGACATGAAAGGAATGTTATAGGCAAATGCTATGATTTTATGTATAAAAGACTCCAAGAAACTTCTCCAACTGAGATACACTTTCATCAAAAATAAGAGATGTAAAATTGACTAACAAAAGCAGTAGCCCTCATATGTACGAATGAGAAAGGACTTAAATAGAAATCAGGGAAAGGAAACCACATCTTGTACAATAACCCCAGAAAGTAGTTTGGGGTAATCAAACTAAAAAAGTGAAAGACCCTTGTAAGAACTCTACGGCATTGAAGAAATAAACTGAAAAAGATATCAGAAGATGGAAAAAAATTCACGTACTCATGGATTGGTCAATCAATGTAGTAAAAATGAATATCTTATCAAAGTAATGTACTGATTCAGTGAAAATCCCATCAAAATTTTACCAATTCTTGAAGGTCTCGAAAGGAGAGTCTTCAGCATCATATGGAGGCAAACAGAGAAAAATCTCACAATAGCTTAAACAATCATGAAAAATAAATCTATATATACAGTATATCACCATTCACAATTTTAAAATATTCTGCATTTATATAATAATTAGGTTTTGTAAAATAATGGTATGGCTGATCACTAAAACAAATTACAGATACTAAAATAAGTGCACTCATCTATGACAACCTATTTTGTTCAAGAATCTAGAAAAATACATTTCACAAAACATTAGCATTTAATTCTAGTTAGAATTACCCCAAACTACTTTCTGATTCTTTAGATACCAAGTTGTTTTCTAAGTGACAGAAAGTGGGTGAATTCTGACATCAATGAAGATGGGGAATATCTCATGGCATTTGAGGGAGAAAAGCCATAATAAGAATATATTTTATGAAAACATCTATTTTCTGTATAAGAAAAAGAGATAATGAATCTCTTTAATAAGATCAGTCCTAGTGAATTTACATGATGTCTGAAAATTTATGGATGCCTTCCTGGTGGCATACACGATTCTCTGTGGGCCAGTTAGTAATAACTGTTTACTTTTCTTCCTTTCCTTCTTTCTTTACTAATTAATAGTCTGTCTTCTTTATTTATATTGTTCACTTTCTTCAATTTGAGGAATTGTGAAGATGAGTTATGTTCATTAAGATAATACGATATCAGGAGTGTGATTTTTTTTGTATTTGGGTTATAGACTTTTTCAATTGCTGTGATAAAACTCCAAGATAAAGACAATATATAGAAGACAGATCCATTATGAAAAATCAGAAGGAATTGTTGTCAAGGGGCTAGAGCTGCTGTGAGAGGTTCCATCTGGAACCAAAACAGGAAGCAGACAGCTCACTGTTGGTAATAGAAGGCATTAAAATTCTCAAAGCCATTATCCAGATACATGTGTTCCAGATAGTTGATACCTTTTTTACCCTACCCATAAATATCCACCAACTCAGGCCACATATTCAGACATCTGATTATATGGGGTCATTTCGTTGAACTCTTCATACTCTTGTTTATTATTCTGAAAATTATGATTGGAATATGTAAGGTAAGATAACTTCATTTCTTCCATTTTTATAATTTATTAATTATATGTCATAAAAGATTATCTACCCATTTGCCTTAAAAAGATTGTTTCATAAGAATAAATGATTTGAAGTTTATTTTCTGTAATATGCTACCTTGCATATGAGTCTACATATTTATAAAATTATGTCACTTATAATCTGAAAATGTTTCACATATGTGAACTAACAATTATATATTTCTATCTTCCAGTTTTCTATTTTAATCAAACACAAGATCTGTTTTCACTGGAGAATAGACAAGATCCTATCCAAAAGTTAATATCAGGAATAGATGTAAGTAGTGACTTCTAAACCTTGCATTTAAGGATGAACTCAAATTATTGGGAAGAGAGAAAAGAGAATGGAATATGTCATGATTGATATAATTTGTATTCACCAACCCTGTGTTTACCTGTAAAAAATTTTAATAATCTCTACATTTGCTTGCAATACTTTACGTTAGATCAATTATGTTTTCAGAAATTTTCTTCATTAAAAATATGTTTTAAAGCATGTTTTTATTCTACAAAGAATTTTCAAAAATCTAAAAACTGAAAGACACATATACTATTAAACATTCACTAAAGTTCCTTCAAATAATAATTATATTTTGTCACAAGCTATTCCATTGAGATATACATGGGGAGTTTTTTCTCAAATGAGACTGAAAATATATCATAGCATTTCTAGTTGTGAGAAGCTTTACACATTTAATGATGTTATTAAAACATTTCCTAGGAGCTATAGGATGACTAGTTATCAGAATACTCATCTTAAAGGGAGAAATTCCCAAAACATCAAATCACAATATGACTTTACTTATTACTTAAATATATAGAACAAATTTTGTTTTTCCTTAGAGCCAATACTTATATTAAAAATGTAAGATTTTTTATTATAACACATACCTTTATTTTTGTTGCAGAATGACCAGACACAAGAGAAACATTTTATAAGTAATCAAATTGGACAAAACTACTACATGGAATATGAGAAGGGCTCCAACAGATCTCCATGCCTTACTAGGCTTAAGAGAATTAATCTCAGAAAGGAGGCATATAAATGTAAAGATTGTGGCAAGTCATTTACCCATCATGCAAAACTTCAAGCTCACCAGAGAATCCATACTGGTGAGAAACCTTACAGATGTCAAGAATGTGGCAAGTCTTTTACCCAGGATTCAAATCTTCATAGGCATAACAGAATCCATACTGGTGAGAAATCTTACAGGTGCCAAGAATGTGGCAAGTCCTTTACCCAGCATTCACATCTTCAGGCGCACTACAGAATTCATACTGGTGAGAAACCTTACAGGTGCCAGGAATGTGGCAAGTCCTTTACCCAGGATTCAAACCTTCAGGCGCATTTCAGAATTCATACTGGTGAGAAACCTTACAGATGTCAAGAATGTGGCAAGTCATTTACCCGGGATTCAACTCTTCACGGACATCGCAGAATCCACACTGGTGAGAAACCTTACAGATGTCAGGTATGTGGCAAATCTTTTACCCATTACACAAGTCTTCACAGACATCGCAGAATCCATACTGGTGAGAAACCTTACAAATGTCAGGAATGTGGCAAGTCCTTTACCCAGGATTCAAACCTTCAGGCGCATTACAGAATTCATACTGGTGAGAAACCTTATAGATGTCAGGAATGTGGCAAGTCCTTTACCCTTGCCTCAAGTCTTCGCATTCACCACAGAGTCCATACTGGTGAAAAACCTTACAGATGTCAGGAATGTGGCAAGTCCTTTACCCAGGCCTCAAATCTTCACATTCACCACAGAGTCCATACTGGTGATAAACCTTACAGATGTAAAGAATGTGGCAAGTGCTTTATGAAAAACTCAACTCTTAGAAATCATCACAAAATTCATGTAATAGATACATTTCATAAAGTTTATTAGTATACCTCAATTTAGTTCATTGTACAATTTTCATACATTGACCAAGATATTACACAAATGCAAATCCTTTAAATAATTTTCAAAGTTTCGTCAATACTTATACAGATATACAGTTCTTACAAATTTAGAAACATTGTGTCCAGATTTGAACATTATTTTTTCAAACATTTGTTTTAAACTGAATTTTTGCATCGTTATAAGAATATACTATTCAAACATCATTATGATGGATGAGGCAATATTTATAGTAGAAGAAAATTAAACAACGTTTCTTGACTGTATGTTGAGGTAACATGTTAAAGAGCCAGCCGATGTGAAACTATTTCAGATTTTGATGCATATTTAATTTCTTGTCATATGGTTGCTTATGTAATGAGATTATATTCTATATAAACATTGTATTCCTGTGATTTTTGGTTATTTTATATAAATACCAGTTTGCTTTAAAATTCAAGTCTTTTCATTCTGTGTCTTTGCAATAAAAAATGTTAAATATCTTCACAATATTTTATTCCATTTTTTTGTTCTGATAGTCTATTTTCCAATGGCAGGGTATTGTAAATGTGAGCTCTTCTGTGGATCACAGCAACAATGAAAACTTGGCATAAAATAGAAGTAGATTTGTCGTGGAAAATGCCTACACTGTCTAAAACTGGGTTACTTTGATTGACGAAATAGGCTGATGATTGGATAATGTCTAGGCACAAGGTAGGGGCAGAAATTCCTTGCAGAGAGAGTAAAGAGGAGGAGCAATTGAGGCATGCAGGGAGTTGCCAGGAAACAGGAAGGAAGCAGCTTGTGCAATTTGTGGCAAAATGTAGACAAAAAATATGGGTTAATTTAAGTTATTGGACATAATTGGAAACAATCCTATGCTAAGGCCAAGCATTCAAGTAAGAAGTCTCCCCGTTAATGTTTTGGATCTCCTAGGACAGCAAATGACAATCTATATAGATTATTTTAAATTTTGTATAATTGTGGTTTAAATTGATGTGAGGATGTTGGATGATACCAATGGCAAATGCTAAACTGTAAAGGAAAGCTGTAAGATAACAGCCTCAAAGAACTATATAGTCATTTAGAAAAGCAGGGAGTGGGAGAAGTGGCCTTCCCCGGAGAGCACAAAAGCTGATTGTCCATTAACCAATGGACAGTCTTGAAAACATAGAATTGTAAAATGGTATGGATTGCTCCTTTTGTATTTAGGAATATATGTATATACAAATTTATGTATACAAATCACAATGCATGAAAAAGGACAAAAACTTGAAGCAGAACAGGAATGTGTGGTTTATAGGAGAGTGGGAGGGAGGAAACTGAAGGTACAAAATGTAATTTGTAATGAGTGCAAAGGCTCATGTGCTCAAAGGTAGCACTGGGGAAACCAGGAATGTTAAATACAGGGTTGTCAATTCAATGAAAATATGCATACTCTGTTTTCTACTCTGACAGCTGGGGCTGGCGGTGGATAATTGCCCACATGCATTGTCCTTGTGCTATCTGTGAGCAGGCCATGCTAAACTCCCAGAAGCAACACTGGGCATACTCAATATTCAGTGTATCAAAATACAGTTAAAATGATACATATTGATGAATTACTTGGGGAACTGTGAGAAAATCTCTAAGAAGAAAAATGGAGAGGACCTTTTAGTCCAAGTACATTTTGTTCCATGACATATTCTTGGATGTGATTTTCTGCCTCCTGCAACAAATATTTGCATTCAATTTGTAAGACATGTTTATTTTTGTCGAATGTAGGAACATAACTCTAGAACCCAATGTGGTGAAAAATATCCTGAATGCTGTAATCACTGGATCTTGACTCTTGAGACAACTCAGAGTCAAATTCCAGAAGTTTGAACCAACCAAGCTACTGAATCCTGTTGTTTAGAATTTCCTTCTTGCTCCATGTGGACTGATAATCTGCCAGCCCTGCTGTTTGCAGAAACCCCCAGAAAATATATTATGTCCTAAAAAATTGAAAAACACAAAAATTAGATTCTTATTATTTGAAAGTTTTACAAACTTCTCTCTAAAAGAAATTTCTCCACTGCATTAATTAGTCTTAAGAAATAGCTAGAAAAGTAATGATTATATTTAGTCATGTTCTCCAGCTCTTTTGCATTATTCCAAATGATGTTTTTTTCTGGTTGCCAAGATTCATATTCATTCTTCAGCATTGCAATATGTGTTTGTAACAAGTTTTAATTTTTAATATATATTATTTTTAAAGAATAATTATATATATAATTATATATATATAACTCTCTCTATATATAACTATCTCTGTCTCTTCATATATATATGAGGCTGCAAAACAATCCCAGTTCCTGCTGCTTTTTAAAGTATATGAAATCATGCCCCAGTGGGCTGGTATCTTAAAGGCTTAAGAAGCCCAACGAGCTCCTACAGCGCCTTCCCATTTTGTTTAAGTAAGAGAGTTCCAAACCAATACAAAACAATATACACTAGGATCAGATATCAAGTATAAGATTAGATTTACAATCAGATTAAACAATATTGAGCAAGGAATATATGTTAAATGTGTTAATAAACATTCTATCCTATGGAGTCTAAGTCTTATATAGGAATTGGCTTTGCTAGATCATAAGAGTACAGTAACTATGACTATCTAATCTTCAACCCTATCGATGGCATTAGAAGGGAGATATTATTACTGGAGCTGGCAGGAAGTACAATCAAGTAGCTTCCAAAGTGAGCAACATATGAAGGAAACAATTAGCTACCTGAGTAATCACCCAAAGTCTCATTTTGCAACGTTGTAGCAACCAACTTTGGCTAAGGCCTAGTATAATTGACAGACTATTTTCAGAGGCAGAAAATTTTTCAAAACCATTTATTTTACCCTTTCTTGGGAAGATTTGACCATCTTGCTTGTCCATTTCTGGATATGATGTAACTTGTCAGTGGTTGAGGCATCGTCAGTTCCTTGCTCAAAGGCTAGTTTTGTCAAGAAGAAAACAAGCTCCACGTCTTCGGGGCTCAACATTCTCTCAGGAATAGATTGGTGTTGTCAGAAGCAGTCATGTCTCATGTCACCAGAACCCTAAGTTATTTAAATGCCATGTTCCACAGATCCTTCAAATGGTTGAAGAATACCTATCTAGAAAGACTACAAGAATATACCCAAGAGATGCCCTATCATATGATAAAAGCATTTGTTCAACTATGTTCATAGCAGCATTATTTGTAATAGCCAGAACCTGGAAACAACCTAGATGTCCTTCAATGGAAGAATGGATGAAGAAAATGTGGAATATATACACATTAGAGTACTACTCAGCGGTAAAAAACAATGACTTCTCGAATTTTGCATGCAAATGGATGGAAATAGAAAACACTATCCTGAGTGAGGTAACCCAGACCCAAAAAGATGAACATGGGATGTACTCACTCATAATTGGGTTCTAGCCATAAATAAATGTCAGTGAGTCTATAATATGATATCCTAAAGAAGCTAAATAAGAAGGTGAACCCAAAGAAAAACATATAGCTATCCTCCTGGTTATGGGAAGTAGACAAGATTGCCGGGCAAAAAAATTGGGATCTTGGGAGTGGAGTGGGAGGGGGTTAGGGGAGATGGGGAGAGAAAGTGAGAAGGGGAGGATGGGGGGAACTTGGGGAATCGGGATGATTGGGATAAAGGAAAGTTGGATAGGGGAGGAGGGAAGCATATATCTTAATTAAGGGAGCCATCTTAGGGTTGGCAAGAGACTTGGACCTAGAGGGGCTCCCAGGTGCCCAGGACGATGTCCCCAGTTAGTTCCTGGGGCAGCTGAGGATTGGGAACCGGAAATGACCCTATCTTATAGCCATACTGATGAATATCTTGCATATCACCATAGAACCTTCATCTGGCGATGGATGGAGATAGAGACAGAGACCCACACTGGAGCACTGGACTGAGCTCCCAAGGTCCCAATGAGGAGCAGAAGGAGGGAGAATATGAGCAAAGAAGACAGGACCACAAGGGGTGTACCCACCCACGGAGACAGTGGGACTGATCTATTGGGAGCTCACCAAGGCCACCTGGACTGTGACTGAAGAAGCATGTGATAAAACCAGACTCTCTGAACATGGCGAACAATGAGGGCTGCTGAGAAGCCAAGGACAATGGCACTGGGTCTTGATCCTACTTCATGTTCTGGCTTTGTGGGAGCCTAGCCAGTTTGGATGTTTACCTTCCTAGACCAGGATGGAGGAGGGAGGACTTTGGACTTTCCACAGGGCAGGGAACCCTGACTGCTCCTCAGACTGGAGAAGGAGGGGGAGATTAGTGGGGGGAGGGGGAGAGGAGTGGGAGGAAGGGGAAGGAAATGGAATTCTGGGAGGAGACATAAATTTTCTTTTCAATAAAAAAATAATAATAAATAAATAAAAAAGTAGAATTCATTATCAACACTAATTTCAAAAAGTCTGCAAACAGGTCTAGTAAGGTGAACATCTAAATAGCCTAGGCTCCTGCAAAGCCTGTATGTTCAGTGGTATCAAAACCCAGTGCCATTGTTCTTGACTTCTCAGCAGTCCTCATTGTCCGGTATGTTCAGTGAGTCTCTTTTTATCCCATGTTTTTTCAGACCCAGTCCAGCTGGCATTGTTGTGTTCTCAAAAGAACATTCCCAGTGGGAGGTCCTTGGACTACCCACAGGGCAGGGAACCAGGTCTGCTCTTTGGGCTGATGAGAGAGGGGGAGTTGATTGGGGGAAGGGGAGGAATATGGGAGGTGGTGGCCTAGAAGAGACAGAAATCTTTAATAAATAAATAAATAATAAAAAAATTCTACAAACATATGGAAATTAAGCAATGCTCCTTTGTACAACCCTGGGTCAAGGAAGAAATAAAGAAAGAAATTAAAGACTTTTTGGAATTCAGTAAAAATGAAGGCAAAACTTACCCAAACCTA